GTAGGTCCGTGCCTCCGGACGCCACGCCCGTCGTGTGTGTGTGTGTGTGTGTGTGTGTGTGTGTGTGTAGAGAATCACACAGCAGAGAGATAAGTACCTTTTCCAGGCTGTTATGAGCATGTGAGGAGGACTCTGGCTTTTACCCACGTGAGGCGGGAGTCCTGGGAGGGTTCTGAGTGGAGGAGGCACTGGCCTGACTGAGGTTTTTACGGGACCCCTCTGGCGGTGAGGGTGAGGGCGTCAGTAGGGGGGCCATTGAGGGGGTGATGGCCGTAGTCCAGGGGAGGGACCATGTGGCTGGGACCCAGATGGTGGTGGCGGAGGGGTGGGACTCGAGAAGGCCTTCTGGCCCTTCCACCTCCCAGCTTCTGCTCTGTGCTCTAGCTCGGAGGCCAGCAGACTCTGCAGCGGGCCGGACAGTAGGTATTCCAGGCTTTGCAGGTACAGCTCAGCTGTACCCCTGTGGCCTAAAAGCAGCTGCGGGTGGCACACGAACAAATGGGCAGGGCTGCAAGGCAATAAAACTTTATTTAGAAAAACAGGCCCGTGGGCCCCAGTTTTCAGCCCCAGGTCTAGCTGCTGGACCTGCTGTCCGTTCAGCCAGAGAGATGTGCCCATGAGATGAACGGTCATCAGCGTGTCCCCTGCCTTGTAGCCAGCAGGACTGCCTCATGGATTGCCCCTCTCCCGGCCTCCATTTCCCCCTCTTTCCGCTGGAGGCCTTGCTGTCCCCTCCCCACCTGAGCTCAGTGTGCCCGTGGCTCTGCAGGGCTTGGGACTCACACCAGCTGAGAGGGTCAGGTCGGGCCCAACCAGGGCAGCCTCGTCGATCCCGTCCATCAGAGGCCCTCATTCCCGAAAGCCGCTCTGCTCCTCGTGGGGCCCTCTCACAGCTCCGTCCCTCCTTCCAATCAGAACCTCTCATTTGTGGGGGAGAGTAATTAGGGATCCACCCTGGCTGCTATTTTGGGAAGGCTGCTGGCCAAGGACGTTCTGCAGGGGGTCACTCCGGGCCACATCAGTGCCCACAGGGCCACTCGGAGAGAGACCGCAGGGCGTGACCCTGGTCCCCTTGTTCCCTGCCACGAACTCAGAAATAAGCTAAAATAGGAAAGGGCCAAATGCTAGGGTTGTGGCTGCTGCAAAATGCAGGTTAGGGTGCAGGGCTGGGCAGGGCAGGGGTAGGGGGGGGCCTGCGGCACCTCCTTCGGCATCTGACCCGAGCTGAGGGGCCCGAGGTGTCTCCAGGGAGGTGGTCCAGCCCTCGCACTTTGGTGCACCACTGAGTCCTCGCAGCCAACCCAGGAGTTGGTGCCATCATCCCCGCAGGTGAGACGACTGAGGCTCCAGGAGGCTAAACAGCTGGCCAGGGGCCTCGAGTGGACGTTGGGAGTGGTCAGCCCTCACCTGGCCGAGCTCCTGGACCCCGGGATGCCGGCTGTTTCCCCAGACATTTCAGTCGAGACACAACACCGTGCTCCCCCCGCCCCTTCCCAGACCGTTTTAGCCTGATGTTTACAGTGGAGGGGAGTCAGCCGGCCTCCCGGGGCCTGGCTCCCAGCTCTGGGGAAAGCAGCAATTTGTGTGTCTGTTCTCTCCAAGGAGGTAATAGAGGTGGTCTGAGGAGGCTAGCTGTCCCAGGGAAGGAAGGAGAAGGAAAAGAAGGCCTCTGATGCTTTTCGTGTGGTCACCAAAGTCAGTGGGCAGCATCAGTCTTCAGGGACAGCGGGGATGGCTCGAAGCTAAGGCAGCTGGTTGTTCTTCTTTCACAGGCCCACTGACTTCAGACAGCTGCTTTGATACCCTTCTTTATATAAGTCACCTCTGTCCCCATCTGTCAGGCCAGCCTGGGGAGTATGGTGAAGAGGAGATGCCTGGGCTCTGTGACCTTGGGCAGTTTATTTAGCCTCTCGGGGCCTCAGTCTCCCCATCTGTGAAATGGGTGCAGCAGCCCTTCCTTGTCTGTGGTGTACACGGACCTAATCCTGTATCCACAGTGTGCGTGGTGCTAGTGGGTACTTAGTTAAATTGTAATCCACAGGGACTGTATCACATACTGGTTCTTACTGGTTGTTTTGATTCATTTTTCTGGCTTGTCTTAGAACAGAGGTCCAGTGGCTTTTTCTGTGAAGGCCCAGATAGTAAGACATTTGTGGACCATACAGTCTCTTGCAATGATTCAACCCTGTCACTGTGGCCCCAAAGCAGCCCCTGGACAATACATAAGTAAATGGGTGTGGCTGTGTTCCAACAAATTTTATTTATAAAAAGAGGGAGTGGGCCCCCCTTGGCCCACAGGGACGTCTAAAGGGTCTGTTCCTGGTTATTAGTGAGGTTGGGCTCCTTTTCACATACTTGCCACCCACTTAGGTTTTCCCATCTGTTAGTCACCCGTTCATACCCTTTGCCCATTTATCTATGAGTTTCCCAGCTTTCTGTGATTGATTTATTGGAGTTTCCTGTCTATTCTAGGTTTTCCTTCCTTGTTGGTTTTAGACAGTACAGTTAGCTTTGCGTCTTTGGCCTCCCTGTGGCCTGACTGAGTGGAAGTCCTTAATTTTATCCTGTTGCTCTTTGTTGCGGGGGGTGGGGTCTGGTGCATGAACTCCTCTTCTGCTCTAGGACAGAGATATTCTCCTGCATTTTGTTGGTGAGCTTTAGTTTTCCCTTTCATATTTAGGTCTTTAATCCAACAGGAGTTTATTGTATATGATATGAGGCAGGGATCCAGTTTTGTTTTTTTGCTGTGAGTGAGTCAGTTTCCCCTATACCGCCCATGGAATCTCCTCCACGTGATCATTCATCCTCCATCATGTACTCAGTTCGCATAGACACAGTGTCCTCTCATGTGATTGCTGTTCTCCTCTGCTGGTTCTTTAATCTATTTCTGCTATAGTTCCACACGGTTTTGGTTACCATGACTTTGTAATACGCCTTTATAGCAGGTGGGCACATTCAGATTTTTCAAGAGACGTCTGAAAGCCAGACTTTTATGTGACATATCCTGATGTGTTAGCGCTGACACCTGACTCTGTTTAATAAAACACTCTACTGGCCAATCCAAAGTTGTCCAGGGGCTGGTTCTGGCCAGTGCCCGCCAGTTGGCAGATGCTGAAAGCTCCCCACGCGGGCCTGACCCCGTGCTTGTGTGTCTGTGGGTCTGCAGTGCTGGAGAAGAGCGAGTTCAAGGATGAGTCCCAGTACTTCCGCTTCCACGCAGACGAGGAGATGGAGGGAACCAGCAGCAAGAACAAACAGCTTCGCAATGACTTCAAGCTGGTGGAGAACATCCTGGCCAAGCGCGTGCTGGTAGGAGCAGAGCTCAGCTGCGGCACCTTCCTTCCCAGACCCGCCTGCAGGCCTGGGAACTGGGCTGCCTTCGGGTTATGGCTTGAGAAATTGGGCTCAGCTTTGAGCACCCAAGAGGATGGGGGATTCTGAGAGGTGGCTGGCAACACCGCCCAGAGGCCAGGTCCCTTTCCTGGCCAAGACTACCCTCTTCACAGATGAGATGGGGCTTAGTGGCCTCCCTTTCTTTTCCTTTCCTTCTCTTCTTGTCCACCCCACTCCTAGCCTAGCCTTGTGCGGAGAGGGTGGCCTCCTGAAATGACTGCCCCTGCATACCAGAGGCTTGGGTCCTCTGGGCTGCCACCCTGTCCTTGTTTAGTTGCTGTAAACAGCCTTGCAGTTAACAGAAGATTTACCAGCCTGTTCAGATATTCTACCAGCCTCGCCCACCAAATCCTGTTTCTCTGCCTCCTGGTTGGCAGCAACCTCCATCTTCAGGCCTGGCCCATAGCAGGCAGTCAGGAGAGAGGCTCAGAAGGTTAGGTCTCTTACCACAGCCGAAGTTGGGGCCAAAATCTGCCTAATACGAAGACAGCTCCGCTAACTTCTCTCCGGTGGTACTAGTGGGGGCTGCTGTTTCTGATTCCCACTTCTCCCTCTATAAAGCCCACCAGTGCTCCCCATGACACTTGGGGTAAAATCCAGCCTCTCACCATGGTCTGCAAGAGTCTACCTGCCTCTCTGGCTTCATCTGTGTGCTCGCCCCTGCCTTGCCCCACCCATCCCAGCCATTCTGATCTTCCTTCTTATCCTCCAGTACCTTGGAGCCTGACTCAGGGCCTTTGCACATGCTATGCCCTTTGCCTGGAGCACTTTTCTCTTTATAAACTTCTGTTCGCACTTCATTCAGGTCTCAGCTCAGATATCATCTCCTCTGGCCCCACTGCCATGCCACATTCTGTCCCTTTAAGTGCTTTATTTTAATTCAAACTGCGGACACTCCCTGCATCACATTCTATATTTCTTTCTTTCTTTGTAGTCTCTCTCCCCCACTAGACATTCAGCTGCCCAAGAGCAGAAGCCGTCTGTCTTGTTCAGTGCTGTTTCCAGAGCCCAGTCAAGTACCTGGCACATCTAATAGGCAGCCGCTCAGCAAAGTACTTACATGAACAAATAATTGCATTTCTCTGTATCCCCCCCACCACTCACCCCCAGCCCCTCCCAGCCTTCTGTCATCCTGCACTGGGGAGGGAGGCTCCTACCCAAACTCCCTTCCTGCCCCCAAGTTCTTGGTGGCTGGACAACTTCGGCTTTATTTTATTTGTTAATCGTTATTGATCGTCTACAGTATGCCAGCGATGGGGAGACAGTGGTGCATAGAAGAGGAGGCTCTGTCCTCAGATTGGGAGGAGGAAGGGGTGACAGACAATGAAAAGTCAGCTAATAAATGGTCAGCCCCAGGCCGAGGTCCGAGCCCGGTGGTGTGTCTTCACTTGACAGATACATATTGAGCACCTACTGTATCCTGGGTGCTGTCTGTGCTTTACTTAATCCCACTGCACCTCAGCCCCCATCCCTACCCTGTATACCTCTGGGGCATGAGGATCCAGCAGGGTCACGGTCCCGTGAGGGCCAGGGTGGGGCTGGCTCCAGGCCTCCCTCCCTGCCTCACCTGTCGCTCCTGCCTCGGGCCCTCAGATCCTGCCCCAGGAGGAAGACTATGGCTTTGACATCGAGGAGAAGAACAAGGCTGTGGTGGTCAAGTCGGTCCAGAGAGGCTCGCTGGCTGAGGTGAGGCCGCTCAGAGGGTGGACTTTGTGTGGGTGGGAAAGTGGGGCATCTCTCCTCATTCCTCGAGGCAGGCCAGCTCAGAAAATCCGGGAATGTCAGTTGTTCCTCCTTGCTCATCACCCTTGTGGGGAAACTGAGTCCAGGGCCATCTGGTCTGCAGTCTCTAGGGAGCTGGAAAAGAGCCCCTGGCTCCAGCGTGCCCTCCCAGCACGTGCCACCAGCTCCCTCTGCTGGCCCTGTCGGGGAGGTGCAGGGAAACTACCCGAGGGTCTGAATCAGCTCTGATAACAGACAAAACTAATAGTGATCAGTGGCTTGAATAATATGGCAAGTTTATTGCTCTGACATGGATACAGGGCCTGGAGGAGAAAGGCCAGGGATTCCACCTTTCAGCTGTTCCCAGAGGGTGTGGAGGTGGGTGGGGGAGAGGCACCTGCCACCTTGTCCAGGTGCTCTGGTTGCTTCCGGGTAGTGATTAGGAATGCGTTTGGCTGCACGTAGCCATGTGCTGGCCTCTCGATGGCTGGAGCTTCATTTTTCTAGTGACTTCAGTGGTTAGAAGGAGGTGGTTCTGGGTCTTGGTTCGGGGTCAACATCTCTTGGACTGTCCTGGCCAAGCTCTCGTGGTCACAAGGTGGCTGACCCAGTCCGATGCCTCGTGTCCTCACACGGCAGGGCAGGAAGCAGGGGCCGATTATGGCAGCTTCTCCTTCGGGAAAAGCGCCTTTCTTGTTAGCGCCTCCTACAGGCCTCCCTTCATAGCTTGTTGGCCAGAACAGGTTTCCCCAGCCCGTTAACTGTTAGCCACAGAGGAGAATGGGGCTGCCCTGGTGGGCTCACTATGGTCACACTTGGTCTTTGGGGCCTGCTCTGTGCTGCTTAAATGCATTCAAGGCTCCTTCGAGAGCAGCAGAAGGGGCCAGTAACCCGTGTGCATGTCTCCCTGCCAAGATGGCTGGCCTGCAGGTGGGGAGGAAGATCTACTCCATCAACGAGGCCCTGGTGTGCCTGCGGCCCTTTGCGGAGGTGGAGTCCATCCTCAACCAGTCTTTCTGCTCCCGCCGCCCGCTGCGCCTCCTGGTGGCCACCAAGACCAAAGAGTGAGTGTCCCCAGGGGCAAGGGCGACATTCCTCTCAGGCTGAGAAGTTGCCTGAGCCGTCCTGGCTCCCCATGGACGGGACTTCTGCAGGCTCGTGACACATGCCTTCATTCCAGTCAGCAGACATTTACTGAGTGTCCTCTGTGTGCACTGGGGCTTCAGGCTCTGGGGATCCAGCCCTGTCTGGATGGATTCATTTCTACTCTTCACAGATCTCAGTCTAGATGGAGGGTAGAGCAGGAGACAGACAGGAAACAAAATAGAGAAGTAAGAGGCATCCTGGAGCAGTAAGTGTGGGCCAGTGTGCAAGGCTGGGGAAGGAGGTGGGCCATGTGGAGGGACAGTGGTCAGGAAGGCACCACTGAGAACTGAGGTGAAGACCTGGAGAAGGTAAGGGAGGGAGCCAAGGGGACTTCTGGGAGAAGAGGGCTCCAGACAGAGGAGAGTCAAAGGCCCTGGGGTGGGACTGTGGCTGGTGTGTTTGAGGAACAGTGAGCAAGCTGATGGGGCTGGAACAGAGTGAGTGAAAGAGAGGGCCAGCCAGTGATGTCAGCCTGACAGTGACCCGTGCACACGGTGAGGACTCTGAAGCTCCTGGGAGGCTCTGAGCAGAAGCGAGGTGTGATCTGATGGAGGTTCTGGCTTCAGGGGGACACTAGATTGTCAGGGGCAGATGTGGAAGAGGGGGAGTGGTGAGGAGGCTGGTGGCCCGGCCCAGGGTGGCAGCAGTGGGGGTGGTGAGAAGTGGTTGGGTACCAGATACAGGCACAGGGAGAAGCATTTTCTATTTTAAAATGTGTGCATTTGGTTTTCACTTCTCCCTTCTATTTAAGGCAGAGGCTCCCAGTTTTCTATTGATGGGAGTGACGAAATGTTTTAAATAGGATTATTTCAGTAGAAAGGCAAGCCAGTTTAGGGAAAGTGACTGATAGTTTGGTTGGTTATGTTCTGCAGTGGCAGAAATCACCCAGGTGGAATGTACCTGTTTCAAGTTTCAGAAATATCTGTGGTTTGAGAACAGGCCCCCAAGATGGCTTTATCTGGCAGGTGGGGATGATTCTGAGGCCCACTGTCGGGGGACCTGCCCTCAGTAGGGCAGCAGATGGCTGCATTGAAGCCCCTGGATTAACGACACCCACTGTCCACCCCTGGGCAGGTGTCGCCTGCCCTGCTCTGGTGTCTCACCCACAGAATGGCCAAGACCTGGCCTTCCAAACCATGTTCTGTAGGGGACACATGGACATTTCTCTAGAGTCAGCACCAAGATGTGCTGGGTCACTTGTCACCCCCCACCCCACTCAAGTCTGTGATTATGGGATATTCACTGGCTGAATTGCTGACCTGGCCACCATGAGGCCTCCTCTCACCAAGAGGATGATGGAGAAGGTGTAGGAGGGTGATCGGGAATTTCTGTGCGGGGCCTGAATTTCCAAGAACAGGCCAAGTGGTTCTATTCATCAGAGATCCTGGTGCCGTGGGCTCTGGTTAAATTGGTTTCTCTATTTGGAAAGCTTGGTGTGGCTGCTGTTTTGGGCTGTATTTCCCAGAAGCCTGGGAATCAGGGCCCCCCAGGATGGCCCCCTGGGGTATGGGGAGTGATACTGCTTCACCTTATGACTGCTTTTGCTTGGTGCAGAGTCATCAAAGTCCCCGACCATCCAGAGGCTCTGTGCTTCCAGATCCGTGGAGCTGCACCGCCATACGTCTATGCTGTGGGGAGAGGTGAGCCGGAGCCTGAGAGACAGAGGGGAGCTTTGGGAGACGGGTCTGTGTGTGTGGTAGGAGCTGAGAGGCACCCAAACCATTTCCACCAGGCCTCAGAGTCTTAGTGTACCGTTAGCATTTACCTTCTTTGCTTGAAACCAAGGCTTGCAAATACAGATGCCTGTGGGGTCAGACCGTTACAGGTGGGTAACTGAATGGAAGACACTAGGGAGTGGTGAGGACTATGACAAAGTGAAACAGTCCATGTGCACTTAAAAAGGGGGAGTTGTTCTCTTCTCAAACTCATTATTGCTAGGCAGGAATGTGGGCCTCCTCTGATCAGATTTTTTTTTTTTAAATCCAGAAATAGGAATTTTGGCCAAATTTCTTTGGCCAGCTCCAGCCCATGGGTCAACCATTTGAGACCTCTACTTTTTGTATTGCCTTCTCCTGGCATGCTGCTTGAGGGGTTACTCTGTCCCGGAGAGGAAATCAAACAGACCTGAGATACTGGGTTCCCAATCCTCTCTCCACCCGAGGGCCCAACTTTTAAAGTTTAAAGATACATTGTCCACTCTTCTGGTCATAGTTATATTTTTAAATTGATTGAAAATGCATGTGATGACAGAAAGCTACTGAGAATTTGTTAATACAGTGGGGTTTTATTGTATTTGTCCCTAAAGCAGTGGTTCTCAACTGGGAGCAGTGTCACCCTCCTGAGGACATCCAGCAATGTCTGGAGACATATTTGGTTGTTACAACTTGGGGTGGGGGTGCTTCTGGCCTCTCATGGGTAGAAATCAGGATGCTACTAAACAGCCCACTGTGCCCAGGACAGCCTTCAGAGCAGAGAATTACCAGCCCACAATGTCAGTAGTGTTGAGGTGAGAAGCCCTGCCTTAGAGCATCTGTAGAGAAGGAGAGATGCTTATGGGTGAACTCGGCAAAAATACCAAAACAGCTGATATTTCTTGAGTCCTTTCTAAGAGGTGGGCACACAGCTAAGTGCTTTATGTGTTTTAACTTACTGACTCTCTCAGGAACCCTGTGAGTAGATATTAGTGTCTTTATTTTCCAGATGAGGATACCAAGGCACAGAGAGGTTAAGGAACTGCCGAAGGTCACACAGTTGGTCAGTAGCAGAGCCAGGGTTTGAACCCAGACCTCTGGGGTCCAGGCCTGTACTCGTCCCCATCACTCCATGCCCACCTGTTGTTCTCCTGGGTACAAAGCTTGACATTCATTTGCATTTCTAGACCCTTCATATTAACCACATAAACCCTGGGGTCCAAGACCTACGGTTTGGGAGTCATGGGATAGCTGGCTTCTCCTAGGCGCATGACCTTGAGAGAGTCACTTTGCCTCTCTGAGCCTCTGTTCCCCTGTTTGCAAAATGGGACTGATCTTGACCCCAGGACTACAGGTGGTTGTGGGACTTTAAAGGAGACGAAGCTCTAGAGTGAGGTGTTCCTGGGTTCAAGTCCTGCCTTCCTGGCTGTGTGACCTTGGGCGAGCTGCTACTTCTCTGAGCCTCAGATTCTTCTGCAGAATGGGGGCACCAGTCCTGTCCTGCCCACTGGAGTAGGGGGGAGAGTGGCTCCAGGGTGGTGTCTGGGGAGTTGGGGTGGCGGGGAGGTTGAGGGACAGTGTTCATCTGGTTACTGGCCCTTGCCTGGCGCTGCCCCAGGCTCTCTTTGCCTCAAGCGCTCCTGTCCCCTTTAGGCTCCGGGGCTGCGGCTGCAGGGCTCTGTCCTGGCCAGTGCATCCTGAAGGTAAATGGCAACAACGTGATGAATGATGGAGCGCCAGAGGTCCTGGAACACTTCCAGGCATTCCGGAACCACCGGGAAGAGGCCCTGGTGAGCTACCCAGCAGCCAAGGGGATCAGGAAAGCCCTGTTTGTTGGGAAGGGGTACTGGGAGCCACCCTCCCTTCTCTGGGGAAAATTCAGAACATACCACAATGTTTTGGGTTGGGTGAGGCTGCCTACCTGGCAGGGCTGAGCTGGGCTTGGGTTCTATGACCCCCCTGCCTCCCTAAACCTCTTGGTCTCAGTTTTCACAGCTGTGAAATGGGTGCAATAAGACCCTCTTTTCTTACCACGGAGGCATGATGGGCAAATAGTCATATTGATGGTAAAAAATTGATGTTATACTTGGGTTGGGGGCCAGGGTTCTGTGGGAGGTGGTCCCATTCATTGGTTCATGCAATAAGTGTTTACTGAGCACCTGCTGTGTGCTTGGCACACTTCTAGGCCCTGGGGCCCCAGGGGGGACAAGGTTTCTGCTCCCGTGGATCTGACTTACATTTTCAAAGGCTCCCCACTTCCCTGGCTTCTGTGTGGAGTGTAGATTGTAGAGGGTGAGCACTGACTGTGACTAGAGGTCCCTCAGGAAGGTTCCAGAGCGAAGCCTGGGAGGGCTGTCCACAGGTGGTGGCACTGACAGGCTAAAAGCCTGAGTTTTGGAATCAGGAAACAGTGTGCACCTCGCCCTGTCCCTTCCTGCCTGGGCTCCTGGCATGGTGGCCGCCCCCTTTACTCTGCTCCCCTCACAGGGCCTGTACCAGTGGGTCTACCACACCCACGAGGATGCGCAGGAGGCCCGGGAGGCCCACGGTGAGGACCCCAGTGGTGAGGGGGCCGGAGAGGAAGACCAGCCCAACTCAGGTAAAGGGACAGAAGAACCTTTGTGATTACACTGGGTTCACCTGGATAATCCCGGCTACTCCTTATTATAGTCAGCTGAGTAGCAACCTTATTTCCAGCTGCAGCCATAATTCCTCCTAGCCAGATAACATCGTGTACTCCCAGGGTCTGGGGATAGGATGGGGGCATCATTCAGGGACCGTTATTCTGCCCACCACGAGCTCCCACATTTTTCTCTCTAGCCCTGGACCCCAGCCCTGTCTTTCTCCCTGACACCCCCTGGATGTCTAACAGGCATCACAAACTTAGTGTGGCCAGAATTGAACGCCTTACCTTCCTCTGAAACCTGTTCCTCCCCTCGGTGTCCAGTCTCCATCCTTCCAGATTCTCAGACCCCAAACTCAGAGTCCTCCTTGACTGTTCTCTTTCTCCTCTGTCCCACCACCTTGGTTCCAGCAGCATACCTCATTGCCTGTGCCTTCCCCGTGCGGCCAGAATCTGACCACTTCCCATCACCTCCACTGTGCCTGGCCCAAGCCACCACCATTTCTCACCAGGACTATTGTAGTAGTATGCTCGCCGATCTCCTTGTCCTGCCTTACCTCTCCCTCTGCCGGCTATTCTCAAAAAATAGAACAGAACCTCCCAATGGCTTCCACCCTATGCAGGGCAAAGACCAAATCCTCATCATGGCCTTCCAGGCCAGACCAGGCTCCCCAGCCTCTCCTCTCATCACTCCCACTTGCCCTCTCTGTTCCATCCACTCTAGCCTCTTGTTCTTAAATACCAAATGGACCCCTGCCCCAGGGCCTTTGCACTTGCAGCTCCCTCTGCCTGGAATGCTCTCCCCCAAGTACTTCTCACCTTGTTCTCCTCACCTCACTCAGCTCTCTGCTCAAATGTTACCTAGAGAGACCACCTGGAGTGCTGTGATTAAGCCCCTTTTATCCCTCGGTGTCTCCTTATCCTCTTTTATTTTTCTTCACCACATTATTAATTAGCATATGTCATACAGTTATTTGTTTATTGCTTTTCTTCATTTTCCCTTCTAGAGAATAAGCTTCCTGAGGGCAGGGGTTTTGTTTATTTCTTGCTGTATCCTCCGATCCTAGAACTGTGCCAGGCATATAGTAGGCACTCAGTAAATAGTTGTAGTCTGAATAATAGCCTCTTCTCTGCAGTCACTTGTCTGGACTCTGTGCCATACTTCTGCTGGGCTGGGGTGGGGACAGAGGCTGTAGAAAGACCAGGGGCTTTGGATGCCTCTGTGTCCACTAGCTCTGGGCTCCTTGCTGGTAATTTCAGGATTAGCAAAGAACTGGGGTATACAGGGTTGGCTGGGGAACCGTCCCCCACTGCTGAAACACACACAGCCTGGCAGAGGGATCCTACAGGGGACAGGTTGATGGGGACGGGGGAGAGGTCAGCTGGCAACTTCGAGCTCAGTTTATGCCCCTCTGACAGGAAAGGCTCTGGGCCTTCTCCCTAGCACGTGGGTGACCCCTGATGATGATGGTAGACCACGCTGAGGGGAGCCGGCAGTTTCTGTCTTTCTGTTCAACAAGTAGAAGCATCTACTATGTGCCAGGTCCTGTTCTAGGAACATGGGAGACACGAGTGAGCAAGGAGGACAGGGTCCCTCCCCTTAGGGCACAGACATGAGGGGAGCCAGATAATGCACAAAAGAACAAAAAATTGACAAGTGATGATGTAGCATGAGGGTGAGGGGAGAAAGTGATGGTGTGTGTGTTGGGAGGTACTCTTTTGAGCAGATGAAAAGGAAAGCAGTTCACTCCAATAAATTGCCTGCTTTCTTCCTAGATATGCCACTATCTAGCTTTGTGGCCTCTGAGGAGCCACAGTCTGTCTGGGTTCATGTTAATCGGGACTTAACCTCAGCTACATAAAAACATTGGCTAAGCAAACCAAAAAGTATGAGTAGGGCCAATCAAGCTTCAGGTCTGGCTTGATCCAGCACCTCATATAGTGAGGAGGCTCTTTGTTTTTCTCCAGTTCTCAGCTTTGCTCCCTCTGTGTTGATTTCCTCCTTACATGCTGTTTTCTCTACCTGGTGGCTTTGGTAATTTGGAATCCAGTTGAGAAAGAGAATGTCTCCTCTTTGTAGATCTAACAGAAAGTCCCAGACTTGACTCTCATTGGCCCAGCTTGGGTCACATGCTTGTTCCTCAATCAATCACTGAATAAGGGGAATCTAGTATGCTCCTTGGCCAGGACCTTTGTCTCTAGGGGAGGGTGTGGGTTGTGGGGGTCCCCTTTTCTGAGCCACATAGACCAGGAATGGGGCTCAAGGGTTGATTCCTGGAAGGAAAATCTTCTAAAACAAGGAATGAGCGATAGTGAGCTGGCAAAATGAACAGTACTGCAGCACAGGCTTCAGTCTCCCCATCTATCCAACATGAGTCGTCCACGGTGCTGGGTCAGGGGGCTGGCTTGGTGTGGGGTGGTGCCCCTCCTCAGGGCTGCCTGTCCTTTTGGCTTCCAGTCTTCCCCCTGCTGTCCCTGGGTCCCCAGCTGAGCCTGCACGAGGACAGCCCTGTGGTCAGCCTGACCGTGGACAACGTGCACCTGGAGCACGGCGTGGTGTATGAGTACGTGAGCACGGCAGGCATCCAGTGCCACGTGCTGGAGAAGATCGTGGAGCCACGGGGCTGCTTCGGCCTCACCGCCAAGGTCTTGCTGGGCAGCGCCCTGCCCTGAGGGGGTGGAGCAGCCTGATCCCCACGTCCTCAGAGTTAGCCTGGCGCCCTGAGTTCTAGTCCCCACCCCACCACGTGGCAGCTGTGGGACTTAGGAGAGTGACTTCCTATCTCTCAGGCTTAGTTTGCGCATTTGCTAAATGGGCCAGTAAGAGACGTGACCTCACAGGGGTACTGCGAGGCACACAGTAGTCACCGCACATGAACCCCTGAACACCCGCTCTGGGGCACAGTGAGTGCTCAGTAGCTGTTAATGTTTCTGTAGATCCTTGAGGCCTTTGCTGCCGACGACAGTGTCTTCATGCAGAATTGTGGACGGCTCATGGCCCTGAGCAGTGTCGTGAAGACCATGTTCCACTATGAATTCCGCAACACCTGTGACACCAAGCTGGAGAGCATTGGCCAGAGGATCGCCTGCTACCAGGAGGTGCCCACACCCTGCAGGGTCTCCGCGGGGGGTACTGTGGTTGTAAATGTCAACACCCAACCCAACTGAGCTTAAACAAACAGGAGAATTTACTGGTTTGTATTACTGAAAAGTCCAGAGGTAAACTTCAGGCATGGCTGTATCCAGGCACTCCAACAGATACCACACTAGCACAAGAACAGGGTCTCCTTCCTTCTCTTGACTTTGTTCTTCTGTGTTGGCTTTGCTCTCAGGCAGGCTCTTTTCATGTAGTGGCAGGATGACCCCCAGGAGCTCTAGTCTTAGCCCCAGTAGAAAAGGAGCTTGATGAGAACTCTTGTTGGCTTGGCTTGGATCCCTTGCCCAGCCCCGTACCAATCTCTGCACGGATAGGGAGGCAGTCTTACCTGAACCTCATGCACTGTGGTCAGGGAGAGGTGGTTGCTCAAGAACAGCCCAGATGCAGCTAAAATGGGGAAATGAATGTGGACAGGTACTCAGAGGCCTCAGATCTCTCCAGGTCTTCCCTGAAATCTGGATCCAGGGAAAGGCTGTGCAGGGGAATTCACTTTTCAATTTGGAACTATTGGCATTTTGTCCAATTTTAGAATGTCTGGCCTAGGCCAGGATAAAGTGGGTGCTGGGGGTGGGCCAGAATTCCCAGACCCCTGAATCATGACCCCGTGTCCTCCACCTTTCTCAGTTTGCAGCTCAGCTGAAGAGCAGGGTCAGCCCACCTTTCAAACAAGCTCCCTTGGAACCCCATCCACTGTGTGGCCTGGACTTTTGCCCCACAAATTGCCACGTCAACCTCATGGAAGTGTCCTACCCCAAGACCACGCCCTCGATTGGCAGGTCCTTCAGCATCCGCTTTGGTCGCAAACCTTCCCTCATCGGCCTTGACCCAGAGCAAGGTAACTGTGTCTGTCAGAAATTGTGTTCTGATCTCACACTACAGATACATGTATGAAGGCCAGCAGTCTGGGACTGGAATGATGGCTCCACAGTCATCAGGGATGCAGCCTCCTCCTTTCTATGCCACCATCTCTAAATGTTGCTTTTATCTTGAAAGATGCCTCATGGTATAGAATGGCTGCTGGAGTACCAGCCATCATATCTACATTATAGGCAGGAAAAAGATCACAGTAGTTACAAGCATATTAGCACCAGATGGAAACTTTTTTATTGAAGTAATTTAATGTAGTAAAAGAGTATTTAAAAGGGAAACTTTTCTCATTCATTGGGATCCTTAAAAAGTGTTTGTATACCTCTGTCTAAGGGGCTTATGAATATCTGGGGGCTGTTTCCAAGTGAGCTCTCCCTCCCTCCACTGTAGGTCACCTGAACCCCATGTCCTACACCCAGCACTGCATCACCACCATGGCTGCCCCGTCCTGGAAGTGCCTACCTGCTGTGGATGGGGACCCCCAAAGCCAGGGTCCCAATGACAGCAGCTTTGGGCCAGCCAATGGAACCCTTGGCCAGGAGGACCGGGGCCTGAGCTTCCTACTCAAGCAGGAGGACCGTGAGATCCAGGATGCCTACCTGCAGCTCTTTACCAAACTGGATGTGGCCCTGAAGGAGATGAAGCAATATGTCACCCAGATCAACAGGTGAGCCCTGGGCCCAGGAGGGAAAGGCAGGGAATCTCAGAGTCAGGATTTCTTAGCCTAGGCAACATTGACAGTTTGGGAAGGATCATTGTTTGGAGTGTGTCCTGTACATGCTCGGCTATTAGTGGTTTCCCTGGTCTCTACCCACTGGATTCCAGTAGCACCCCCTCCCTAAGCTGTGACAATGAAAAATATCTCCAGGCGTCAAATGCCCTCTCTGGGGGCAAAATCACTCACAATGGAGAATCGCTGCTCTAATGTAAGGGTGGATGTAGGCAGCATCCTCAGTAGAGACGAGAACTATTTGGTGAAAGGTTTGGGGGGAACTTTATCTTTTAAACATTGCAGAAAGAGAGATGGCTGGACATGATGTCCCTTTTGGTGCGATGTGTCAGGACACACATATAACACCCCCTACAAAGCGTTTTTGCCAACAGAAGTTGCACCATTCTCTGATCAAAGCTCTAGGTTTCACTACTCGGCTAGAGGATGTGGGGTATGGGGAAGGTGAAATGGCACTTCAGGGATGCCATTGGCCAAATCCAGAGGGTGGACAATTCTAGATGACAGATGACCCAATTTCTTTAACAAATGAATGACAAGGGAGAAGCAGGTTCAGGGGGGAGGAGGAACTGTTAGAAAAGGGGCTTGAGAGACGTATCAACCAAACACAGCGAGTGGGCCTGGTTTGGGTTCTGTTTCTAACATACCATGGTGCGAAGGCACTTTTGGGACCATTGGGGGCATTTGAACACAGACTGGGGACTAGATGGTCTTATGGGTTGATGAATTTTGTGAGGTTTGATAATGGCAGACTGGTTATGTTTACAACAGTGTTTCTCAGCCTCGACACTATCGACATTTTGGGCTGGATAATTCTTTGCTGTGGGGTATTTAGTGGCACTCCAGTCTCTGCTCCTTGGATGTCAGCAGTTTCTCCGCACGCCCCCCCCCCCGCCGCTTCAGTTGTGACAGCTAAAAATGTCTCTGAACGTTGCTAACTGTTTGCCCCTCAGGAAAGTTGCTAAATTGCTAAATGTTTCTTGGCCGGGGGAGGGTGGCACTCTGAGAACCACTGCTTTAAAAAAGAAGTCTTTATGTGCTAGAGACATGTATGAAACTGTGTATCAGGGGAATTATATGATATCTCAGGTTTGTTTTAAATACTCCAGAAAAAGAAAAAGCTACAGAGAAGACTGAGGGAAGAAATGTGGGTTCTGAGTTGCCGTTGTTGAAGCTGGCAGCTGGGTACCTGAGGTTCACCCTCCTGTCCCCTCTTCTTCTCTATGTGATAGAAATTGCCCATGATGAAAGAAAAAATAATGTGAGGTCCAGAGCCAGGACGCTGGCCCTGCCACTTATTAGCTGTGTGACCTTGGCCAAGTCACTTAGCCTCTCTGAACCTCGATGTTCTCATCTGCTAAAGTGGGGTTATTCATAACAGTGACCTCACTGAGATGTAGTCGGATTGTATCAGCTGGGGTTTACTGATCACTTACAAGGCACCAGACACTTCTGGGCACTTTACATATTTTAACTCCCTTTATCTTAGGACATAGTGATGTTACTCCATTGTATAGATGAGGAAATTGAGTCTCAGAGTCATTTAATACTTAGCTTTAAGTCTCTAAACTAGGAAATGGTAGCATTGGGATTTGAATCTGGGATCTGTTTGTGTTCCAAACCCATGCTTCTAATGGTTATGCTGTATGCCTGGGATTGACACACTGTGCCCTGTGGGCCAAATCCAGCACACTGCATTTTTTTTAAATAAAGTTTTATTGGGACACACCCATGCCCAGCCTTTTATGCACCATCTGTGGTGCTGTCACAGTGCAGCGGCAGAGCTGAGTCGTGGGTAACCGGGACCATGTGCAGCCCTTAGAGACCACATTTCCCAGTCACCTTCCTACTCCCAGGCCTTGTGTAGCTTGGCAATGAAATGAGACCCTTGTGTATCTCGCCCCCTGCAGGAAGGCCAGTGTATGCGCATCTGCAGAGTTGCTGGCAGGATTTTCAGGGGAGGGACATAGCATTTGGTGGCTTCCTCTGCTTAAGGTCAGAGGTGAGGCCTGAGGTCAGGGCCTTGCCCGGGGCCTCCATGGGGGTGAGTGAAACCGCAGGCTTGTGCCTTTAAGTTCAAAGTCTTTCCCCCGACAGGTTGCTGTCCACCATCACGGAGCCCACCTCGGGTGGGTCCTGCGATCCCTCCTTGACCGAGGAGGCCTCGTCGCCCCCGCTGGTCAGTGAAGAGAGTGAGATGGACAGGACGGACCACGGGGGCATCAAGAAAGTGTGCTTCAAGGTGTCTGAGGAGGATCAGGAGGACTCGGGTCACGACACCATGAGCTACCGCGACTCCTACAGGTGGGGCTCGGTGTGGATGGTCAGGGGCACAGCTGAGGCCCCGACGCAGATGTCCAGACTCAAGGGACATTTCCCAGGAGGTGGTGGGATGGGGTGCTGTTACTAAGCCATGGTTCTAGGGGGGATCTGAGCCCCATGGCACATCCCCAGTGCCCTCTTCGGGTCCCCAAACCCAAGCTAACGTCTCAGGGCCTGTCCCCTAGTGGACACCACCCATCCATTCTGCTTTGGTTCCATTCTGCACACACTGATGGACTGTGGTCATAGAAAAAGTCAGAATGTGCAGTGTGTTTTAAAACCAACGTAAGAGCTCTGGTTCCTGCAACAAACACCGTTTATTTTTACGTGACTCAAGGAGGCTGAGATGTTTTTTTTTCCTCCTAACTCAGAGTATCTGAATTGTTTTCTCCTGGTTAACTTAATTATAACAAGATCAGTGAAGTCCTAATTAGTGGGTTAAATAGACTGAAAACTCAATTTCCTGTAATAAACCATATAGTGGGTGAATGGAACTCCTTAAACACAAATAAACAAGCACTGTGACCCCCCTTGAAAGGTGGTACAACAGCTGGCCACGGTGGGTACGGTAGGGTCTTGGAAGGGCACTTTGGTTGTTTGTGGGCAAAACACAGAGCTGATAGAATCTGGCAAGAAGTGCCTTTGGTCCTGTCCTCCAGTATTTTGATTCTTTCAGTCTTCGAGGGCCCTGCCTGGTCGGTGTCTCTTGGTGTCTGTGTGACGAGATGGTCTGGCTGCCGGGGCACTGTGTGTCCTTGGAGCCTTGTGTCCGATGGCCCAGATTTCTCCACCTTGATGGGTTTCCATTCTTACTTTTTTGGGTCCTCTGTCGTTTCTTCTTGACTGTCAGAAAGGTGAAGAATTTCAGAATTGTGGGTGTTGATTCCTGATACCGTATGAGTTCCTGGGACACAAGCTAAGCAAACACAGCCCTTGTTCTTAGCAGGTCTCCTGCCAGGCTGGGGCGACAGAACACAGAGCCGCGGGCTTGAGTGTGGCGTGTGCAGGTGTGTGCAGGGACAGGGCTGTCCCACGAGGGGAGTGACAGGAGTTACCCCTGAATGAAGAAGATTCGCTGTCCACCTACCGTTTCTGTGTTTCTGTTTTGGGATCTGGAAACATTTCCCCCCGTCAGCCCGAGAAAGCCCTCCAGGACAACCTTCCCCGTCTCTGATGCTGATGATCGGCCCACAGTGCTCTCTCTGGGCCAGCTGTTTATCCAAGAGTTTTGTCTACACTTCAGGAAAGTGGGTTCCGGTGCTGGGCCCAGGGGCTGTGAGTGGGATGGTGACTGATCCCTTCCTCTCTGCCGCTTTGCAGCGAGTGTAACAGTAACCGGGACTCCGTCCTGTCCTACACCAGCGTGAGAAGTAACAGCTCCTACCTGGGCAGCGACGAGATGGGGTCTGGTGAGTGCAGAGGCTCGTGCTGGGGGAGAGGGGCCCCCAGCGAGATTTCGTTTTGTTTATTTTCCTTTGTTATGCTTTACTCCATGTGGTATTATTTGCTGTCACTTTGCATGGGATGGGAGTGGTTTTCCTTGCATTCATCCATTCAGCACGTTTGCTGAGCACCTGTCATGTGCTAGGACCACAGCAGTGAATGAAAAGACAGAGATCCCGGCCCTCGTGGAGCTGACGTGCTCCGTGAATGTCATGGGCAGAGACCAAACAAAGACATTCATGATGCGGTTACAGGTTGTGATGAGGGCTCCAGCGTCGCTAAAACAGGGTGAACGATGGTTTCCATAAATGACACATGCTCAAACCCAAAATTCAAATGACGCAGAAAAATTCTAAAGAGGTACAGGAGAAAAAGCCAGTATCTCAGCCTTTCCCCCAGCAATGACCACATTTGGAGATCACTGGTGAACGTGTATTTCTGCTCAGATGTGGAGAAATGTGGGCGGATGGTTGGATGGTCAGACAGACATAAGTGAGATTTTATTGGTACTTGTAATGTTTACTTGAAGACTGAAGCTTGCTTTTACTTTAGTTTCACTGATTTCAGCTTTTACAAATTACAAATTTTGTTTTGTGAGAAGGACATACATCCTCATGGTTTGTAACTCAAAAGGCATGAGAGGGTGGCTGGTGACTGACCTCCCTCCCACCCCTGTTACCCGGCCTCCAGGCTCCCACTGTCATTGTTGACCTGTGTGTCCTTCCAGAGGTGGTCTGTGCATGAAAGTTTAATTTTAATCATACTTCAATTCAACAGAAAAAAGAAGCTCAGGTAAAATCAGAGATACTGCGAACTTTAGATAAATATTTCATCACATGAGATATTTAGCTGCAAAAACTGTCCCTGCAGAGGTTTTGGGCAAGTGCCTACCTGTGACAGCTGATGTAACTGAAACAGCTGGGGGATGAATAGGAGACTTCAGATCTAGTTCCTTCTCTCTGGCTTTCTGTCTCCTCGTTTGCAGAGTGGAAATAATGATGGCAACTTACAATTGTGTAATGTTTTAGTTCCTATTGCCCATTTTGCAAATGAAGAAATTGAGACTCAGAGAGGTCAAGTGAATTGTGCAGTGTCCCACAGCCAGGAACTGGGTCTTTCAGACTGCAAATCCGCTGTGGGTTGTGGAGCTCTGTAGCTACGTTGCTTTCTTTAGAAAGAGGCTGGGAAGGTGTGAGATGAGGCAGGAATAGTTGATGGCATTGGTTTCTTCCTTCTGCCAGGGGACGAGCTGCCCTGTGACATGAGGATCCCATCAGACAAACAGGACAAGCTTCACGGCTGCCTGGAGCATCTCTTTAACCAGGTAGGACCTTTGTCCCAACCCTAGCTTGACCTTGAGTTCTTCCCATAGCATGGGAGGGGCTGTGAGAGCTCTGGGGGCCAAACTAACCAGAGCTTCCTACCACCCAGGTGGACTCCATCCACGCGCTCCTCAAGGGACCAGTCATGAGCAGGGCTTTTGAAGAGACCAAGCATTTCCCCATGGACCACAGCTTGCAAGGTGAGCAGAAAAGGGGTGACATCTGGTCCATGGAAGGCAAATGCATGGTGAGTGTCCTACCAGTTCATTGTACCTACCATGGACCAAATAATATCCAAGAGTCCTGCCAGCATCCTTGGTCTAGGATTCTGAGCTTTGGAATCTAGTGTTGGGACCTTTGTGCCACCCATTTTCCACAACTGCCCAACTGTCACTTTCCTGCCCCAGAGTTCAAACAGAAAGAGGAGTGTACAGTCCGTGGCCGGAGCTTGATCCAGATCAGCATCCAGGAGGACCCCTGGAACCTCCCCAATTCCATCAAGACCCTGGTGGACAACATTCAGAGATACGTGGAAGGTCAGTCGGGCAGGGAAGGGTGTAACATGGACGTTTTGTGGCCTTTGGCACTTAACGTGGGACATGGTTGGATCAGGAATGGGTCCATCCCCAGGCTCCATGTCCCTCCGTGCCCAGGGAGGGGACAGGAAGAGGGAGGGCCCCTTTCTCAGCTATGTCAGGGCCCCGGGACAGTACACGTTTGATCAAAGAACTGCTGATTTTGGGTGCCTAGGGCTTCCTCGCAGTCAGGAGGCGGAGGAGACTGAACTTATCCCTTTTTTGCTTCCAAAATTGTGGATTTAGTTCAGTTCCTTTTGTTTATTATCAAGGTTACAAGTTGAGGCAGGGAGCGGGGAGCCCTAATCAGACTTGGGCTCACAGGTAGGTTCTGATGCAACAGCATTAAACAATGTGAATCTGCTGCCAGCTTTTGTAATCCAAGATCCCATGTAGAAGTCTCAATTTCTGATTATTCTTGAACATTCAGAAAATCTGGCAATAGCAGACCTGCAGTTCACACTTGGCTGGAGATGAGTGGTGGCCGCCATCTCCAGATGGGGAGGAGAGTCTTCCAGTCCACACAGTCCCCACCCCGCCCTGCAGCCTGGGGGCTGCTTCATGCATCTTATGTTACCAGCCTGGCTCTTGGCAGATTTGAGTCTGGGACCACAGGCCAGGGAGACATTTGTCCAGGAGAACAGGGGGTGCTAGGCCTCAGGGCCATGACCCCAGGAACAGCACCCTCTGAGTTGAAAGTCTGTGTTGGCCCTGAGCTGTCCTGTTTTCCAAAACTGTATTTGGTTAAGAGCATGGAGCCTGGAGCCAGATGGCCAGGGCTCAAACCCCAGCTCTCCCACCTATTGGCTGTGTGATCTTGGCAAGTTCCTTGACTTCTCTGTGCCTCAGTCTCTTCGTGTGTAAAATGGGTTCATAGGACTACCTCCCTCATGTGTGGTTGTGAGGACTGAATGAGTCAAAACAAATAAGGCTCTCAGTACAGTGCCTGGCACACAGTGGGTCCTCAGTAAGCGTACGCTGTTGTTATTACCACACCCAGCCCTGCATGTCAGTGCCTCCCCAGGACAGACTGTGTCACAAGAGGCCAAACCCAGAGGCCTTTCAGAGTTTTCTTTTATGCCCCTTCTGGGCCTCGGAGCCTTTATTTGAAGGAAAGAGCCCAGGATGTTACGTCAGTGTGTGGAAAGTCTGAGCTTTGTGTGCGCGTGGACAGGGCTTGGCCTTGTAGGGGGTGAGTAAGCGCCTGAGTACGCTTGTGAGTGGACGTGGTCTGAGTGTGCACCCACACGTCTGTACGCTCACGTGTGATCGTGTGCCCACGTGCGGGTATAGGTGTGGGCTGGGGGCTCTGGCCCAGGAGTTGAAGGGGCTGGTTTCAGTCTCTGTGTGGTGGGTGTATATGAACATTTGGGGTGCAGCTAACTGTTGGGGTTCCATCCCCTGGATATCTGGGGGCCTCTGGAATCTGCCCAGCTTTCAATCAAAGCTTCTGGAGCTCGATGGAGCGGACCCAGAGCTGCACGATGGAGGGGCCAGAGTGCTCAGGCTGCAGGGAGGGCCCGGCTCTGCGCGCTCCCTCCGCTGTCCCCCCTCAGCCCTTCTCCTTTCTCCATTCCTTCTCCTTCCAGACGGGAAGAACCAGCTGCTCCTGGCCTTGCTGAAGTGCACAGGTGAGGGCTCTGCAGGGGCTGCCGCCTGCGATTTGCACACTCCTGGTGGATCTGGGGGAGGCCACCCTGGCAGTGTTGGGTACTCATGACCGCGGCCCAGGGGAGCCTCTTTTGCTGGCCAAGCTTGACTTTCCCATGGTCATTGGGGCTGGCACGGAGGAGGTAACATTGTGGCGTCTGGTCCCTCCAAGAGCTACTTAGACCTTGCTTCGTCTGCTTGTGTCCAGCGGACAAGTCTCAGGGCCCTGGAGCCAGGAGCACTGTCTTTTGTCCCCTTCCAGGCCTGGGCAGGCTTGACGAGGACACAGGCTGGCGCCCCAGTGATCAGGGAGGCTCTTTGCTGGTAGAGCCTTCAGCCGCTGCCTGGGGCTTCCCACCCGGCAGGCAGTGGGGAGGATGGGCTGACGGTGGGCTTAGGGAATCTCGAGGTGTTCTCTGTCCCTCCCATCCTTCTGGAAGTTCTCAGCCAAGGTGAAGCTGGAATAGGATCGAGGTCAGACTGGTCACTGAAAACCCACTAGCCAGAGCCAGTCATCAGAAATAATCCTTTCCAGAAGATTAGGACCCTGAAGGACTGATTGCCTGAAATTGGCCAATTCTGCGAATCACGTCACAAGCAGGGGGCAGGGAAGTGGGGGTGCAGGGGACGGCAGAAGGCACATTTCTCAAAAATAGAGAAAACGGTCAACTGCATTTCTTAAAACGTGGAGTTTGATGTCACTGTCATGCTCAGTCAAGGCCGAGAAATTTCCTAATGAATGGAGAAACAGCCGAGGGTGAGGTGAGGTTTTGGGGAGAGCCTTCAGAACATCACAAAATTTTTTTTAAATAGGCAGATAGGTTATTGAGAGAATTGAGTTTTTCAGCAAATTTTTGCATTTGGAGAGTTGACTTTTGTGGAGTTGGCTTTTGGTGTCTGGGATCAATTAATTATTGCAAGTTGGCCCCAGATGGGTGGTTGGGTTGGGGCGAAGGGTCGTGCTGGGCCCCCAGCTCTGGGCGCGGGCCCTTGAGCGCACAGGAGCCCCAGCCCAGCGCGGCCCTGCCCCTGTGCCCGCAGACACGGAGCTGCAGCTGCGGAGGGACAGCATCTTCTGCCAGGCCCTGGTGGCCGCCGTGTGCGCCTTCTCCGAGCAGCTGCTGGCCGCCCTGAGCTACCGCTACAACAACAACGGCGAGTACGAGG